ATCATCGATATTTAAACAGGGTGACCCCTTCAGTCGCAGGACAATTTGATGATAAAACGTGGGCTTGGCCGAGCTGTTTTTGAAATATCAACACTGAAAGCTATAATTAAGAGTGTTTTATATTATTATTAAAACAGGTTTTATCGTTGCTATGCCGGGCAGGTTTTTATGCCCAGAAGATGACTACAACTTGTTCACCAATGATCGTGCATTTATGTGATACCAATAACGTAAAATGCGGTTATATACTGAAATATTGACCTGTCAAAGTATAACCGTTGTAAAGTGCTTGATCGAAACAGTTACCAGCCAGCTTAAAACTTCTTTTTAGAGGGTCCATCTTTGATTGTTAACACCATGTGTAATCAGTACGGTCTTCACTTATTACTAGAATGGATTAACCATGTTAACTTCAATGATGTCTCTACAACAACAAGCTTCCGATTGTGCCGTACCTGCTTGTACAAGCTCTTATTTAGGTTTATTATATGCAAGTAAAACAAGCTATGATCTTGGACCCTGATTGTGCACAAAAGAATGCATTTTCTGTGTCCAATGGAAATCTTAACTACCTCATTGGCAAAAAGTGATCATTACGTCATCATGACGTGAATCTCTTGCCTTCTCTGGCATCTACAAAAGGGTTTGGTGGGTAGCTTAAGTGCAAGGCCGAGATATACATTAGTCTTCATTCAGTTATGCACTAAATTTTAATGAAATGCGAAATGATTCAGCTAGTGGAGGTTTTCGTTCTAGTTTTTACAGCGCACTTGGTCAATCAAACAGCAAGTCAAGTGTACGTCGATGGCTCCAAAGCTTTGAAGCGAGATGCAGGGGAAGGTGTGGCCTTCGCTAACTTTGCAGCGCACAAGTTTCGTTACCTGAACTTAGCTCCTTTGGTTTCAACTTCAGTGAAAGAGCCTCGAGAGTGCGGTTTTCTTTGTGTCGATCACTCATCGTGTTTCTCAACAAACCTGGCGGCATTTCGTGATCAGGACGGAAAGATGATATGCGAACTGTTACCAAGTGATAAATACAACAATTCTAACAAGTTTATTGAAAACGCAACGTTTCATCACTTGAGCATAAAGGTGCGTCCACTGTCTAACAATCAGGTCTCAGTTTTGATTTTAGCTCTATTGATACTGGTTAGCTAGTGCTGTTGAGATTACAAGACGAATCTTTATAATCCGCATTCACGGCCAGAGAATTGTTTTTAGAAATTAATACATTTAAGAACACACGAGACACTCGGTGGTTCCTTAGTCAACTTGTTAGGCGATACATTTTTAATCTGCAATTATTTAAATATACATAGGAAACCACTTTTGAAATCCAAAATGAAATTTTATTTATTTTTAATTAAAACAAAAAAAGTTACTATCATTCAAGTGAAGTTGTTTAACTTCGTGATCGAGAATTTTTTATTCGCTGGTGAGTATCCTGGAGGACATCCCGTTTACTTGCCATAATATTCAATGTTAATTCCATTCAAATAATATTGATGTTTGGAACTTAGAAGCAGGTTTTAATAATGAAACATTTGAAACAAAGAAAAATTTGTTGATCTGTGGAACTTCACACCTGTTGTTAAGAATATAGTTCCCAAGTTTAGAGCAAGATCATGGAGGTTCGGTTTTGTTTGAAAGGAAGTTTAGTTAGTTGAAAACAGGTGTTTTATTAAACAATAACTTAGAGTACTGACAAACTGATTCCAAGCGGCTGATAGGGCTTTGAGTCTAAGGATTAGAGACGCCACTAAAACTTGCCGGGGTTTAGTCAAGACATTTAATCAATTTATTCAGTCTGCAGTCTGTTTTTCATTGACGGTTAGTATTAGGGTCAGGGTATTATTAAGTACTGATTATTTTAGGTTCGGGGCAGTTGTTAGCCTGCAGTCTGCATTTTGCATTGACCAAATGTTTAAATAATGACGGCTTGACCTAATGATTAGGCGCTAGATTTGTAATGCAGAGGTCCCAGGTTCAAATCGTCCCCTTGCCGCTGGATGGATTTGTGTTTGGTAGTCCCAAATTCAACTCCCCCAAGCTTTGTAAATAACCAACGGGTGAACCTCCCACCAACTGGGATTTTTTAACAAGTTTTTATTCAATTTGAAATATTTGTTTGCTTATTTCAGTGTCAGTCTCTAATTAGTGCCGCAGTGCTACTGGCTCGTCAACACTTAAATTGCGTATTTTATTGTTATTTGTTATTTTAAACTAAGCTTCTAAATATGTTTAAGCTTTGGCGAGACGATGGCATAAAAGATGGTTGAATAACAGGTTCATTTTTAGGAGCAAATATTTGTAATGTCAGTCTAATTCAGGGTTAGACATGTGAATCTTGCAAATGAATGTATGAAATATCATATATTTGATCCGCGGAGAAAGAAATGAAGACATGATTGATC